CCTTCCATTTGCTATTCATTTTTCTCTAGCCAAAAGCAAATGGTTGCAGAGAAAAAGTTCTAGAGCTCTTCTATTAACCTTAAATAGCATGTTTGCAATGGAAAAACGGCATCATTTTGCCCTTAACCCCAAGGCTCAGGATAGAAATCAAAAGGAAGACAAGTCATTAACCGAACAGCCTGAATAAATGAGAATCCTTCAGAGGACAGACGGGAAGCATCTGGGCCCAAAAAGCTGAAATCAGTGTGATGGAATTGAGCATCTCCTCAAGCCAAGGAATGAGTTTCTCATTGATATATTTAAAGAGAAATGGAAAAATTCAGAAGATAAGAAATGCATCTAAGCAGAGAGTCATTGACCTCCGTCTTTCCTCGGAGCAGGAGAAGGCCAGATCTTTTCCTTCTCCCTCCCAAGAGATGACATCTGGTTGGAGATATTTTTTTTTAATAAGATATAGCTGATAGCATTTAACTAGAAAATGCCTTCCCAAACACTATGATGGGAGAGAAGCAAACCCTTACCGAGAGAGACCACGTTGCGATAATTTTCCAGCATGACTTCCCAATGCAACGCTTTTTGGTGCGGATCCAGCTGAGACCACTCCTCCTCAGAGAAGTACACAGCCACCTCCTTGAAGGACACAAGACCCTCCTGAACAAGGAAAAAAAACCCAAAGGAACAGGCCAGGAGGATTTGCAAGATCTGTCCTATTCTTCACAAATTTCCAAAGCAAAATATGCACTAAGTTAAATGGCAACGCTTGGTGGGCTTCCAAGGTTTAGGTGAGTTAATGGAAAGTGCTGAAACTTTTGACTGAAGAAATATTTGAGCCAGGGTTGTTAAACTTGATTGCTTCTACAGGCCTTTCAGTGCCATTCAGTGATAGGAACCCCAGTTTCCTTCTGGATCGATCCATCAATCAATCAATCCATGCAGCCACCTTCAAAAACCTCTCAACATCATGAGAGATGGGCTTCAGCAACCCAGCCAATCAGTGTCTCTAATCTTTCCTGTGTTTGCAGAATGAAATGGGGGGGGGATGATTCTTTGAAGCATTTCAGCAAATGGCTTATGGTGTCTCCACAGAAGGAGCAATCGTGCCCATGCTCAACAACTTCATGAAAGTGCTGGGAGAACACAGCCTGGGATTTGGGTGGGGGCCAACAATATCCAGAGGGACAGAAGCCAGGTTCTTCTCCTCAGATTGCAAGAAAGGTGCTAGTAGTCTGAGCCATTGGCTGAATGGGAGACAAGAAAGCGGAGACAATTTTCTGGGAAGGACGTTTCGCAGGCTTTGGAGACCTAGATTCCTTGGCTTCCAAATCGAGGCACAAATCAGAGGATTAGAAATCACTTTGCAAGTCAAAAGGGCCTTGATTATATACTCTTTCAGAACAATTTCTACTTAGAGACTTTTCTCTCTGGCCACTTTCACTGGATATTAATAGCCTGTCTTATGTCTTAATCGGATGTGCTGATATTTCTTATCACTGGTTAGAAAAGGCTTTTTAAAAATTGCAATGTGCCACTCTGAATATTTAGTTATTTTTGAGCAGCCTTGCACAATTCCAAGTCAAAAATTAAAAAAAGAATGGGTCTCTGTTTAGTGGTTGCTAGTAATGTTATTCCTATCTCTTATGCTACTATTTAAAAAATAGTTATTGTAAAAAAATAGTAGCAAGAGTAAGTAGTGGAAGGAAAGTTAAGTACTGGTCTTTAAAAAAAGACTTCCTAAAAAGAATTTCAGGGGAGAAATTACAAACCAATTTGTATCCCAACCACAGACTTCATAGGAGGCTGAGCTGACTGAGAGCAACTTGAATCTTCCATTCCCCATTCCATGTTGCTCAAGGACAAGAAAATACCCAAGCCCAAAAAAGGGGGGAAAATGGAAGGAGAGAGCACTGTGTTCACCAGCCTGACTGCCTGAAAGAAAGGGAGAATACAAATTCAATAGATAAATTTCCTCTTCTTACTTCAGCTGTAGGTTCAGCCCCTGTTTCAGCTCCACCATGAAGGGCAGAGAACTTCATTCGAGTCTTCCCTGTGAGGGAGACAGAATTTTAAAGTACGTAATTAATAAAATAGGAGGAGGCATTCTAGAGACAAGAAGACATAGAGAACATGAGACAGCTGGGATCTCTCTGGGAATGGGAGGGCCTTCAATTACCTCCTAAGGTGTCCTGACTTGGATCTTCCTGAGAGATTCTCCTGAAAAATAGCTCCTGACGGGGACTGGATGGATTGCTCCTTCCCTCAGGATCTCTGATGTCCACAGCGAAGGACTTGAAATAGTAGGCAGGAGAAAAGAAGAAGAATTAACTGACATCAGATAAGATGAGGTGGATTCTTGTTCTCTGAAGACAACTTCAAAGCCCCCAGTGTCCATCAGGGAGGCTGGAAAGTGAGAAAGGAACACCTGTCCCAAATCTATCTTCTAGAATGGATAACAGAACAATGTCCTACAAGAATTAATGAAACATCTCCACATATTAGGAATGCCAAAGAACTCTGGTGGGGAGGGGTTAAGAGTTCAAATGCATGGTTTATTCCATTCAGACCCCTTCTGGGCTCCCAAAATGAAGGTCTCCCACCTGCAACTCGACCGGCTCCTTCTGCTCCTCTGCCCGGCTCAGGAGGAAGCCTTCCAGCAGGGCCACTGCCTGGGAGCTGGTCTCTGCTCCACACTCCTGCACCCAGTTCTGCATCTGCAAAGGCAGAAGGGCCAGGAACTGCTCCAGAACAACCAGATCCAGCATCTGTGCTTTTGTGTGCTTTTCTGGTCTCAACCATCGACGACAAAAGTAGTGGAGACGGCTGCAAA